GAGGATCTTTGTGAGTTGGAGACCAGCCTGGACAACAAAGTGAGCTCAAGGCCAGCCTGAACTGCATAGCGAGACCCTGTCTCAAAAAGACAAAAAAATTAAAATAAAGCTGGATGTGGTAGCACATGTCTGTAGTCCTAGCTACTTAGAAGGCTGAGACAGGAGCATCACTTGAGCCAAGGAGTCTAAGACTGGTCTGGGTAACACAGTCTCAAATAGGTAAATTAACTTTTGTATGTATCAAAGGACATTATCAAGACAGTATAAAAATAACACAATGGCAGAAAAATATTTGTAAATCTGATAAATTAATATAAAAACCATAAGGCGGGGTGTGGTGCCGCACGCCTGTAATCCCAGCACTCGGGAAGCTAAGGCAGGAGGATCCTTGTGAGTTCCAGACCAGCCTGGGCTACAAAGTGAGCTCAAAGCCAGCCTGAACTGCATAGCAAGACCCTGTCTCAAAAAGACAAAAAAGATAAAAATAAAAAAAATAAAAACCATAGGCCTGGCATGGAGGTGCACACCTCTAATCCCAGCACTCCAAAGGATAAGGCAGGAGAATTGCTGCAAGGCCAGACCAACCTGAACTGCAGTGAAACCCTGTCTCCAAAAGACAAAAAGAGAAAGTATATAAAAAATATAAAAGAACTCCCTAGTCAATAATGACAACCCAATTAAAAAACTAGGCAAAGAACTTCACTATATATCTCTAAAAAGCACATGGAAACATACACATGCTTAACATTTTGAATCCATCAAGGAATTGCAAAATCAAAACCACAAGCCAGGGCTGGGGAAATAGCTCAGCAGCACAAGTACCTGCCTGGCAAGCACAAGGTCCTAAGTTCAATTCCCCGTACCTAAAAAAAAAAAAAACCCACAAGTCAGGCATGGTGGCGCATGCCTATAACCCCAGCACTGTAGGCTGAGGCAAGAGGATCACTACAAGTTCCAGGCCAGCCTGAACTATACAGTGAGACCCTGTGTCAAAAAAAAAAAAGCAACCAAAAAAGTCCACAATGAGATACTACTTCATACCTACTCAGTAGGTATACTAAGGTATACTATACTATAGTGAAGTAACAAGTGTTAGCAATACACAGAAACTAAAACATTTTGGCACTGCTGACGTGCATATAAAATGGTACAATGGTACTATCAAAAGGTTTGGCAGCTCAAGAAGCTAAACATGGAATTACTACATGACTCAACAATTCCTCTCCTACACAGCTGGGGTTGGGGTGCATGCCTGTAATCCTATCACTTAGGCTGAGAAGGATCACAACTTCAAGGCCAGCCTGAGAAATTTAGCAAGACCTTGTCTCAAAACAAAAAGTACAGCCAGGTGTGGTGGTACACACCTGTAATCCCAGGACTCTAGAGGTTGAGGAAGAAGGATCATTGCAAGTTCAAGGCCAGCCTGGGCTACAAAGTGAGCTTAAAGCCAGCCTGAGCTGCAGAGTAAGACCCGGTAGACTCGACTAGACAACTAGACAAGTACAAGCCCTAGGGGAATGTAGCTCAGTACTGGGTATCAATCTGTAGTACTCAATTTCACTGACATGAACAATCTAGAACAGGCAAATTTAGAGCAAGGTAAAACAAAGCAGGAACTGGAAGGGGCAATGAGTAATCTCTCCTTAACATACTCCTACAGATGAAAATGTTATAGAAAAGTTGCAAGCCAGGTGTGGTGGCACATGCCTGGAATCTCAGCACTCGGGAGGCTGAAGC